TGTTTGGAGCAGTCTATAACTATTAGCGGCACTTTATTAATGAAATCTTTTTTATTGAGTAACTGCTCGTTTTCTTTACCATAATAAGCCTTTTGAAAATTAGTATACATATCGTAGAGAACAACATACTGATTTTGATTGATATTCAAATTAAGATTTCCATACGGATAGCATTGTGTATTGAGGAATAGCTTCACATTACTAATATTACAATGATCAAAATTACTAGAATTAACACTCGCCGAACTTTTACGTTTAGTTTGAAAAGCTAAAATAACAAAGCGAGACTTTTCCAATTGATTGGAAGTCTTAACACTTCAAACATGCTTTGATGTACGTGGTAATTTTGGATACTCATACATTTCCCAAGTACGATAACTCATTGTAATTGCACGATCTCGTCCGATCTGATTGAGTAATTTGATTTTTTCTTTGTCTGCAACCATCACATATGGCATCAACGATTCAACCTTAGTTAAAGTAATTTTTGTTTTTTCTGAAGCAGCAGGATTCCCTATTGGAGCAGACAAAATAGTATTCAAATCATCTCTTGATCTTTTGAGAATAAGTTCATGCTTGATATATACTTGGATATATATATACTTCATATTGGATACTATATATATTTAAAAAATGCCTGTTGATGCAAAAGTTGTAACAACCTTACTTTCAATGATATTTGATCGGAGCAATAATGACGAACCAAAGCTTTTAATCAGTGACGAAGAAATGCAATTGCACAACATACTGGAGAAAATAATAAAACAGCATGCAGAAAATTCTGATGTTGATGTTCAAGAAGAAACGACATTGTATTTTTGCGATGAAAATGAAATTTATCCAGAAGCTATTGAGTACATGGAAAACGAAGAATCTGAGGATTTTCTAGAAGAATTAAATAATCCATGTGAGAAAGACAAAATTGACTTTAAATATAAAGAAGAAGCAGTAAAGTTTTGGTTGAGTGGAAAAAGTAAGCCTTATTCATTTAATACTGTAAAGCACAAATACAAACAAGTAACTAGCGAGCGACAATTACGACGATGGAAACAGCAAGTTGAAGCAGGAGACAGTAGATATGATAAATTATTCAAGATATCAGAATATGTTTTTAATAATTTTAATGAAGCTATGATATCGAAGATGACTGTACATGATATTGATTTGAAAAGATGGGCTTTACAAAAAAAAGCTGAAATAGCTATGCCTTTGTTCAAAGCATCGAATTGGTGGATCTGGTAATTTAAAAAAAAAACATAATATAGTATCTCGAAAAATCACTAAATATGCTACAACAGATTCATTGAAAAATATTGATGAAATTGAAAATCAATGTGAAACTTTTAGAGTTGAAATTAAACAATTGCTTACAAGATACGGTGCAAGCAATGTATATAATTCTGATTAGAGCGGATTTAATTTGGAGATTCACAGTGGTAGAACATTAAATTATAGAGGACTGAAAGAAATTCAAAGCATAGCACAATCACTGTCTTCCTTAACACACAGCTACACTTTCAACCTGTTATATCAGCAGTGGGTAATTTGCTTTCACCTTTATTTTTAGTATTGAAAGAAGCAAGTGGAGACTTTGGGCCTCGAGTTAGACAGACATTATTTACACCAGAAAATGTATTAATACGAGTTTCTACATCTGGAAAGCTTTCTAAGCAACTGCTTCAGACGTGGATGCAAGAAGTATTTTTAAAAAATACTGGGAATTCATCGGTCTTACTTTTAGACTCTTGGAGTGGGCAATGTAATAATACCATACAAGAAGTTGTACCGGAACAAGTAAGTTTAATGGTAATGACAATACCGCCTGGCACTACAGATAAAATTTAGCCTTTGGATGTTTATGGTTTTCGATTCTGGAAGAATTTTGTAAGAAAGCTATCTGATTTTATTATTTTAATGCAATACAATATCAATTTACACGAAAGAAATTTTATCATAAAAATGCAATCCCTCGTACATAATCAGTTATCTTGTCCGAGGTATTATAATACTTTTAAGTATGCATGGTTCAAAAGTGGTTATATTGATAGACCTCCAAAATTTGATAATCCTGTTGAATTTTGCTTTGCCATAAAAGAAGAACCTGTATGTACCTACGAAGATGACATTGCAATTATAATTTGTAGTTGGTGTAAAAAAAGTTATGCTTCAATCATTTTTTTACAGAGTATCATTATTGTAAGAATTATATACTATAATTATATAAAATAATTCTCAAAAATATCAAACATATGTACGGGATAAATAGAAAGTTGTATTTTATATATGTTAATATGTATATGAATGTAATTATTAAAAAAAATAAATAAATAATATTTATAATAAACAAAATATATAATAAAATATTTTTTTATTGCCACTTTGGGACTCAAAATATCATTTGAACGTGTAAATTCCCCCATAATTCGAATCTGCCATAAGCAACAGTAGTTTCCATTTGAAATTTACAAGTTGAGCTAGATTTGGGCCAATTTTTGGAATTGGACCCAAAAAACTGAGTTTCCCATTTGAAAGAACGAAAAACATTACAAAAGAAACACTATAAATCTTTTCAAGTGCAAAAAACACGACTTTTACACATACAAACTAATTAATATACTTTAAAGTATGAGTCTTTCCCTTCAAAATGAATTTTGAATCGTTCAGATATCTTTTTCTTTCACCAAGATATGATAATTTGAATTTAGCGTCTCGCCAACTTATGCACTTCAAGCGTATGTAGATTATAATTGGCAACCCTATTTTTACCACCTAAATTACCGTATAGGCCGCTACAAAAAAATACGTGTCCAATATTTTTCGATACTCTAATCGTATGTAAAGTTTGAAGAAAATCGGTGACGGACACCTCCCTGCCTTCCCTTGTTAGTTCAAATTCTCTTTAAATACAGGTTCAAGAACAAACATAACAAAAAATTTGTACGCGATTGAAAGTAATATAATTTGAAGCGGTACATCAAATTGAATTAAAAAAAGTATTAATCAATGTCTCTTTTTTGATCGTAAGTTCGACGATATTACGCATGTATATTTACTCCAAATGTTGTTTTTTCTAACTTTTCTTCTTTGTTAGATTAAATAGTCTTGTAATAGTTATTCCCTTTGTTTCTCCCACACTCGATGTTCATTCTCGATGTTGAACAACAATAAATACATAAATGAGATAAGTGTAAAAGTATATGTAGAAGACATACGATTCCAGCTTGACTTTGATGTATGAAATGGTACTTATAGAAATAGACGAGAAATAGTATATAAAAGCTTAACTTCTACGATTATACTTCTATTTGTTTTATTTATATGCTACGATGTATCGTGCTATTCATTTATCTCTAGGGTAAGTTGAGAACTCTGAATTTTCAGTAATATTTTTTAATATTACTCCATCGTTAGTTTTTCAATAATATTGGAACCGTCTGAACGTAACTGTAACGCCCTAGTTATATTTTTAATCTTTCAAATTTTTATTTTTGGTACAAAACTCTAATTGAAAAGATCTAATTGACAAAAAAGGACTGTATTCTCTAGGTAATGTATTTTACTCAAACTAGATGTAAAGTTTTTCTTGGTATAAAAACATGACATTCTAATGGATTTATTAGCTTTATATTTAGTATTATGAAAATAGTCATTATCTTGAAGCAATCTTTTTCAAACGATGTTACAGTCAAATTTATTGGAAGGATCAGAAATTTGATTGATGAATTTTGCATTACATACTTCATTTGAAATTTCTAATTAAAATGCATTTTAATCTTTATATATATAGTAGAATTCTCTGTTTTTCAGTGAGGCGAGAAATACTCTTCGTTCACCTTTATTTAATTTTACGAAATGTATTTCAACATTGTAACGGGGTTTTGACCCAGCGCGGGTCGTTCGTTATATAAATTACGAGGGAATGGAAAACAGCTCGGTGTGGGCCTCCTAATAGGAGCGATCACGAAATTCAGGTGCGAAAGCCGGACGGAACGGGATTGCTTACGATAGGTAAAAAGGAAGCGCAAAAGAAGAAAACAGATATACGAGTAACATCGAGTTTACTACGGAGAATAATACAAAATTAATACGCAGTATAAGCGGGAGAGAGAGCGGCGAAAAGCTAGCGAGAGAGACACGTATTCGAGATGGTACTTACAATAATGTCTCGGCGTTAGCCCTGCAGGCGATATCCTCAGCCTCGCACGTGGCTCGGGATGACGCGCAGTGTGCAGCTCGGGTGCAGTCAAGAGGCGGGCGGCCTTAAAGGCTCGCACGCGTGGTCGCAGGAACTAGCCCACCAAAGGCACTAGGGGCAATCTCGGCACCGATACCTTACACCGAGTGGACACTCGCGTATTCGCAGGCAACCGAAATGTCAGTCACAAAAGTTAGTCGCGAAAAGTCGGACAGCAAAAGATCGCATGCACGTGTATAGCCGCTCGCCACACGTCCACGTGCTTCGAAGTCGCCGGTACAAGAGAGAGTTCTTATCGCGGGGCTTTTTCTTGCCCCACTCTCCTACTCGCGTGCGTCGTGCCGGCCTCCCGAATTCTCTCTCTCTAGCTCGCCCTCTATTAGCGCTCTCTCTGACTTACCTTTGGCCGCCATACAAGTGAGATAATTATAAGACAATTATATATATAAGAATAATTATAATTATGTATGGGGAGAGAGAGACATAACGAGGGTCTGGCCGCTCGTTATAACATTAATAACTATATAATTACGTAAATATTGAAACACACCTAAATAATATTCTTAATTTTTAGTTTGGAAACATGATATATCATGTTTGTCTAAACCTAACATGAACTTTAATACAATTTATTGCTATTCGTCAATTAAATCCTATTATTATTATTATTCAGTCAGAAAAATATTAATGAGAGTATTTTCAATAGTATGAATATATATAACAAAATCATTTAAAAAAAAAGACTTCTTCGGAATACTAGAATTATAAAAAAATCTGTTGATTTGTAATGATCAAGGGAACTTACTCTAGTCCTTGGTCTTGGAAAAACGCCTTCATTGTAACTGCTTTTCTGAGGAAACTGAAATGAAAAAAATTATATTATATATAAATATATATATATATATATATATATATATATATGAATTCACAAAGTGTCATGAAGGATATAATTAAATTCAAAGTTTATTTAGACTTAGCTAATAATTTCAAATTTTGAAAGAATTTACAAAAAATGACTTTTTAACCTCTAATTTAACATATTTCATATCTTAATGGAGTAACCATTGAATGCTACATAGTTATCAGGCATTTTTCTCAAAATGAAACTTGTATTTTTAGTCATTCGAAGATCATTATTTATTTTAGAATGAATCTTGAAAATATGAGTTTGACTTGGACTGTGGTGCCATATATTTATATAAAAATTAACACCGAATTCACTCAGAATCAAATGATAGATAGTATTTTAAATAAGCGATAAATTATCATTTTCTGTAAATTTTTTAGAGACAATCTAGATTTGAATTGAAAATTACATCTAATAGATGTGGAGAAGCAAATATTTAAAAACAAATGATCTTTCCCGTTTCTCGCGGCTGTCCGCACAAATCATTTACGAGGGGGATCGATAAGTCTTTACAAAATTTAAGAGATGGCACTCGTCACGCTTAAATTATGATGTTTTTGGTAAGCAATACTACTAACTAGATATCATGCAAAGTATCAGCTCGATTCATTAAGTCGTTTTTTCGTGAGCGTTGGTGGAACAAAAAGTTATTGATTTATTTGAAAAATGGAAAAAACAGAGTTTCGAGCGGTGATAAAACATTTTCATTTGAAAGGTCTTACACCAAAAGAAATCATAGTTGAGTTGAACGCCGTTCATGGCAAGTCTGCCCCTGTGTTTAAGACTGTTTATAACTGGGTAAATGAATTTAAACGCGGCCGTACAACAACAAAAGATGAACCTTGTTCAGGACGCCCCGTAGAAGTAAATACGCCCGAAATGGTCAACAAAATCCACGATATGGTGTTGAGTAATAGAAGATTAAAAGTGCAAGAATTAGTTGAGGCCACAGAAGTATCAAAGGGTACAATCATTCCAATTTTACATGGAAAATTGGGGATGAAAAAAATATCAGCAAGATGGGTGCCGCGTTTGCTCACTGTTGAAAACAAACGAACCCGTCTGGTCACCTCTGAGGCTCTTTTGGCACGTATACGTCGTAATCTGGAAGACTTTTGGCGTCGACTCGTAACTGTAGACGAAACATTGGTACACCACTACACTCCTGAAACCAAAGAACAGTCCAAACAATGGATTACCGCATGAGAACTAGCCCCAAAGAAGGCAAAGACAGTAAAGTCAGCTGGCAAGATTATGGCCACGGTTTTCTGGGATGCGTATGGAATCATCTACATTGACTAATTGGAAAAGGGACAGACGATCACTGGACAATATTATGCGTCATTATTAAGTTAGCTGAAAGAAAAACTCAGAGAAAAATATACTCACTTGAACAAAAAAAATGCCTCTTTCTTCAAGACAATGCTCAAGTTCACGCGTGTGTAGTTTGTAACAGGGTTCTTGCTACCCCGTTAAGGGTGATGCTAAGTAGCTACTCGACTTGCGGGTAATTCGTTATGGGGTCACGCGAGACTCAGCCCAGTGGCTCAGATATGCCCCTCGAAGGCACCCTTGCCTTCGGCCCGCGGAGAGCGTCGTAGATCAGGTAGCAGCGGGCGATGCGAGCCAGCGCGCGCGTAACACGGGAGAGGGAAGTGCCGAGAGGAAAGACGCAGCGGTTAGCAGAAAGAGTGTTTATTAAAACGAAGATAACAAGGGAAGCATACAAGTAGCATTCGCAGTGAGAGAGGCAAGCGAGAAGCAAGCGAGAGAGAGAGTCTTATGATCGAGCGGGCACTGACATGACGGGTTCGCAGTAGCCTCGGATTTACTCCTGACGCGCGCAGGTGTTCAGCCACGAGGTAGCTCTCTCAGGCTGATTGACAATTATCTGCACGCACGAACGCACGCACTCTACACCCTCGGTCCTTATCGGCGAAAAATACTAGCTGCGTAGCACAAGGCACTTATTCGTCGCGGTGATAGCCGGGCTTGCTTTCTTCGCGAAGGCGGGCAGCAGATTGTCGCTCGTACGCGGAAGGGGTCCCCCTCTCTCGCGCTGGCTATTCGGCAGCGGCGCGTCTCAGCCAATTAGGCGAACGTGCGCGACACTCAAACGTCCACGCACTCACGCGTACACGCGGATCTCTCTCTCTACTCGGTGCTCTCTTACTTACCTCGTGCCGCATCCACAGCTGCGGCAAGACAAAATAACTTAAATAGAATACATAGGTTGTTAATAAATTATGATTGGCTTAGGGGAGAGAGAGACATAACGAGACTCGGCTCGTTATAAGTTTCGATGGCAAAAATTAACGATTTAAAGTTCGAATTAATTGGCCTCCACCATATTCGCCTGATTTGACTCCCAGCGACTTTTTCTTATTTCTTAACCTCAAAAAATGGCTTGTCGGACAACGATTCACGTCGAATGAAGAAGTCATCGTCGATACAAATATCTATTTTGAGGGTTTTCAGAAATCATAGTTTTCTGATAGCTTAACAAAACAGGAAGGCCGTTTAATAAAATATATCGACCTTGAAGGAGATTACGTTGAAAAATAACAAAAAATTACATACGCAAAACTTTTTTTCCTACTTTTTATAAAGACTTATTGACTCCCCCCCCCCCCCTCGTATTTAAGGATTCGGGAAGCAAAAGATGTTCCCCCAACTGAATAACGCGTAGAGCACAACCACGTTAAACGCACAGATTCGAAGTAGGGATGAGCAGTGATGCAGCGGCGAATAAACACAACACCGGATTAACACACTAATCCTTTAATCGTCAATAATCGACTACAATCAGCGATCTCACGCCTCTATACTACGAGCGGCAAAATAATAAACGCGAACGCGAAGGTGAATCGGTGGCTGGTCAACCCGCAGATTCCCTGTTTAAAACTAGTTATTACAACAAATGCCCAACAAACATTTTCCGCCGTTATTTCATCAACGGGGTAGCCAGTAGATCTGCCACGCTACCACCCATCAGCTGGCGCCCAAACATGCAAGAGAGAGAAACAAGAGAAAACACGGCACCGACCTCGACCTTCAGCCTCTCTGACAGTTAGAACGCTTTGCAGTGTGACGTCACTGGTGCGCTCCTTCTTGCTGACCGACTCGCTGGTGTTTATTGTCGTCGCTGTTTATCCTCTTACTCGTCTTCTCCTTCGCTCTACCAATATTGCTGCCTCAATCCGTTGTTCGCTCGTTGATTGCTTTTGTTGTTGCTTCCGCTATCCTTCGATTGCTCGGTACTACAGCAGCGATAAAATCCGCTCACGGATATACTTCGGGATACGGTTGAGCGCGACCCAGCCGCACACTCTAATTTTCGTCCGCGCACCAAGCGTGTCTCCGAAAAACGAAAAACGTTGACGAGGTCGTGGGGCCAATTCCGGAAAACCGTTAACTTTGGTTTAATCCGCGCGCGCGACTTTCTCTGCCCTAAGCCTAGCAGATACTCTCCCAAATTTTCCGCGGTGATGCTCAACTAGAGCATTCTCTTTCACTCTCTCTATCTCATCTTCTTCTTCTTCCGCGCCATCTCGACCGCTCCAGCCGTTAGCTCAGCCCGTATACAGCACCTCGCAAACAAAAACCAAGCATGAGTATGTGTGCCACACGCACACACTCTCAGCTTGGCGCAGCGTGCGGACATTTGCGAGAGCCAAACGAACGAAATCGGCCTAGCCGATATTCTCCGTTACAACTTTTTAAGTTTACAATATTTAAAAAGTTGACACACACACACATGAACGGGGGTTGTACATCAAATATGAGAAAGATGATTAAAGTTCACCAAATTAACTTTAATGTCACTGTATAATAGCTGAGGACTCGTGATCTATTATCATAGATAGTCCGTGATAGAAAGTTATAACAATAATATTATTGAACAATATCATGATCATAGTGGGATAAACTGAATAAGAGGTACTATAAGCTGACTATTTAGACATGTGAAAACTACTACATATCGAAAATGTACATAACGATGAGCTATTTTATATGGCTGGAAGTGGCCGGTATGCATATATATGCTTGCTATTTTCCTACATGTGATATTTTCCAGGATTATTTGAGATCTTTAAATACCGTTATTGACAACATTAAGTCATGCTAATTACCAGTGTTAATCGATGAAGACTTTAATGTTTGGCCGGTTGAGTAGAGTAGTGGAATAAAGAAACCATCGAAGGCATTTGCCACTGGAGGCTTCTGTAATATTAAAGTTCGAAATAGCAAACAAAAGAAACTTCGCAGCCTATTGCAGGGCTGGTAAGTGTTGTATAGTGAATCTGACCTTTACCGACCTTAAGTTGATCGAGGTGAAGCTTGACTAAAGAAACAGTGATAAATGCAGTTATATATTAGTTTCAATCAATCGATAAGCAGACCAAGGAGGGTGACAGCACAAAGCAGAAATAGGAGATGGACATCAACCACTTTTGTTAGAAACGTGTTCCTAAGTTCACTTGTAAGAATGACTGTAGGAGGGTTGTTAACACAAAAAGCCCTAGACTTTATGGAATCCATAGTATCGGTATATAATGCATCCATGGTTGTGAAACATAAAGTTCACATACAGTCTCCTATCTACCGATGAAACGATTACATCGTTAAACTAAGAGATAATTGTACAAGACTAGGAAGATTACATCTACGAGCAAGAAATAAGCCACGATATCATAACCTGACTATCGACTATGAGAATAAGAGGAAGAAACTCAAAACTGCCATCAAAGCCGCCAAAAAAAATACTGGCAAGGTTTCTGCGAGGAGTTGCATCACGATCTTTGAAACAGAGCGTAAAAAATGGTTATGAACAAAATCATACATCGAGGTGCAGCCCCATTGCTCTGCATGTAATTGTAGATAGAAATGTATGCCAAAAAAAGATGTGAGAGAGTGGTCAGAAATTAATAATACTGAAATAAAGATGGCTG